AGGCGTGAAGAAAGCTGAGGCAGCAGAGCCCTGCCCTGCTGTAGTTCTAGAGCTTCTGTAGCCTGCAGTGCAGTTTGGATAGAACAGAGAATCAAGAATTGTAACTTTAATTTTTTCTGTGTCATCATGAACGCATTAAACATATAACTTATGTTTTTGGAAAGATACGTTAGTGTTTTAATTATCTTTGAAATAACTGAAAATTCTAACCATCATGCAGTTTTCTCTCTTCTGCATGCACTCCCAGTCTACTGTCACACAGTCAAATACCACAATATACCCTGAAGTGCATTAGAAGAAACTGATTGATCATCATGCTCGGTATCTGCTTTTCAATGCTGAGTAAAGTCTTTTTAGTACATTTTCACCTTGAACACATTTTCATTATCACAGGGTGCTTCTATGCTTAGTAACAACTAAACAGCTACATTCAAACCTTTGAGGATTTAAAAAGAAATGTGCTCTTAACTTTAAATGTAATTATTTGAATGCTTATCATGGTGAAGTAAATAAAATAATTTGCAGTGTGTGACAGACTTGCTAGTGAAGCGGAGTATGTCTTGTAATGGTATGGGCATCATTCACATTCTGAAACCATCCATGTTTGACTTGGTTTTGACATCATTTCCCATTACTGACATTATAAGTTGTAAAAACGCATGTTCAATGTTCGACAACAGTAATCTGTACATTTTAAGTTAACTCACTGGACAGAATGTTAGGTATCTCCTGTCAAAAGAACAGTACTTTTTCTGGGTGCTCCAGTTTGTTTGCACAGTCCAAAGGCTTGCTGTGTCTAAATTGTCACCCAAATGTGTGTGTGCCTAAGTCGGACTGAGGCCCAGTCGAGTGTATATCCTGTCTTGTGTCCATTGTCAGTTTGATTACGCTCCGTCTCAAACTGACCCAAGAAGTCAAATCTTAATATCTGACTACAGCTGTCCTTGTGGTTGTGGGGGGGGGAGCACAGTTTATTTTTTGACCAGAGAAATCATGATCACGTATGGAGTATACAAACCCCCAAAGCCTTTTTAAAAGTTATAATTATCAACTATTGGGTGTGGAGGCAGTGCTTAGATTGGTCAGTCTTTAATCAAAATGTAAGTCACATGCAGTTTGAGAGAGCTTATCTGTGCTTGAGTGCTTACCAGTGGCTCAAACCCCTCACATGTTTAGATGTCTGGACCAAATGCCAGTCTTTCACAAATCTCTTGGGCAAAAACCATCCTCCTATTACAAAGCAGACATGCCGTCATACTGTGACCATTGAACAGTCTGTAGCATTAGAAATGGCTATAATTGTTATGGGGTCTCTATCCTTGTCATCTTTCCTTAAGGTGCAGCAGGTGGCATACAAAATGCCAGTCTGTAATAAGTGTTTGAAACCACCTCTTGCCAAGTTCCATCTGCCTGGGAAGAGACTTCGTGTTGACACCAGTTTGTTGTTTTAGGTTGATAGCTTGCGGAGTGGTGATGCGACCCTACGTTGAGGCCAACATCTCGCACAAATCCCACACCACCATCAAATACTTCCTGAAGATGTGGAGCAGTGTCAGCGAGACTCTGATTTTCATCTTCCTGGGAGTGTCCACTGTGGCCGGGCCACACCAGTGGAACTGGACCTTCGTCACCGTGACCATCGTCCTGTGCCTGGTGTCCCGAGTCCTGGGTAAGACTCTTGAGCGAGGTGGGAGGGATTCTGGAGAAAATCTGCATGGCAATTTGAACAGTTTCCAGTGACTGTACTGTACTTCTATTGGGTTGATTCTTAATTCTGACCTGCTCTTCACAGCAGCCATCTGGACCAGCTGGGACAAAGTTGATATTTAGTTCTGACCTGTAAATCATGGCAGCAGTGTGGACCACTGAGACCAGGTTGGGTCGTGGTTCTGATCTGCTAATCACAGCAGCAACCTGGATCACTGAACCAACGGCTTTTGTCCTCTGGCAAATTATCAGCTGTGCTGCTCAGGTTCAAATGTTTCCCACAGTCTTGTTGCCCCTCATTTATTGAAACGCCCTCTTAGTCTGATTGCAAAATTGGCTGCAACAATAAATCCAGGAGTATTGAATTCATGATGATTTGGAGTTAATCCTCCTGTTCATTGGTCAGGGACAGTTATTTGTCAGGAGTATGAACATGTAATAATGGTGTAATTGTTGTATTGCTAAATATTCTTCTGCTTACTAATATAGCAGTAATTGTAGCAGTAATTGAATTCTACTCAGACTATAATTTAAATACTTCTGATACATCTCTTGTAGGATAGTTACTGTAAGTACTAGTATATGACATATAACTGACATTATTGTAGTCACCCTGCATTGTACAAACAATAAATGTTTATTGCTTGATCACTCCCAAAGATCTAATGTAGCAGCTTATTCATTTGAAGGGAACACCAGTGTTCTGGCAGAACTTCATTATCCTCATTCCTAGGTCATGAATTTGACTGGGGTTGTGAAACCCTCTTTCAAAGGTTGGCTTTATGAAATCTAACTTCAGAAACAGGAATTATCTGGAACTTGTATTAGCAGGGTTATTGGTTCACTTTGCATGTTGTGCAATTGTTAAAGTTACTAACAATAGCTAATGATAGCAATATGTGCTACTTTGGAATGCCATTAGAACAGAAGCAGTAGGACTGTGAATTCGTAGACTTCAAGGACTGTCATGTACTGAACAGTTAGGTTAAAGGGAATTACTCTCTTCAAGCCTGATGCAAGGGAGATAGTGAAGGGACTTGATTCAAGTACTGAAAATCCTTTTAAATCATCCTGAAGGACTTCTTCAGGAATTACACTGACGCTCATCAGAGGGCACAAGTGATAGTTTAGAAGAAGTACATTTGAAGATGGAGAAGAGGCACTTCTTTACACGCTGGGTTCAGCACACTAGGACAGTGCTGAATATCAACGTTCCCGCTTATTTGCTTGTCTCGCAATCTTCAGTTCTAAGAGGAAAATGCTTTTAACATTGACAATTGCGTCCTGGTGTATCCGTCTTCTTCTGATCTGTTTAAAAGTCCAAGTTACAGTATATGTAGTCAAACAGAATTTAGACGTCTAGCTACTTCATTCCGTGTCTTGGAGGAGCTGGAGCCTATTCTGTCAAGACACAGACATACTGTAGACATGCACTCGCTCGTACCAGGGCCAGTTGTTCCAGAAGCGAATTAACCCACCAGGATGTTCCTGAACTGTGGGAGGAATTCCGAGGGGCCGGAAGAAATCCAAATGAACTTACGAACCCCATGCAGACAGCACCCCAGGTCTGGAATTGACCCCAGGGCCCCAATGCTGCGAGGCAGCAATGCTATCCATCTAATCACACAAGGTTTCAATGCAGGGTTTTGCGAGTAAATTGTGAAATGCTGATGGTTAAACAGAGGAAATGTATACAGTAAATACTTTGCAAGCACCTGTTATTACTAACAGTTGGGGGAAGTCTGCGTTGCAAGAAGTAAACAGATTAAGAAACAATTAGCAAGTTTAGCAACGGCAGGGCTTGTGAAATGGCATGTTCTAAATGATAATGGGGGAGGAATTGCAAGGTTGGAACTTGGCAGTTTGCAGCATCTTGGGCTGTCTTTGTGTGTAATGAACGCTAAACAAGTGCTCTGCTGGAAAATGTTAACAGTCTGCCCTTTCCTCGTCCAGGGGTGGTGGGCTTGACCTTCATGATTAACAAATTCCGGATCGTCAAGCTGACCACCAAGGACCAGTTTATCATAGCCTACGGCGGCCTGCGCGGAGCAATCGCCTTCTCGCTGGGATATCTGCTGGATCTGGACCATTTCCCCATGAGGAACATATTCCTCACAGCCATCATTACTGTAGTCTTCTTCACTGTCTTCGTGCAGGTAATTCCCCCCGAGAGCATCGCTCATGTGCCATAGGTGTGAACATCAGCCTCCTACTTGAGCATGCGCGTCAGGCCCTGCACAGCGCTCAAGGCTAACCAACCTAAATATTACCGTGTTTGCCTCTGTCATGTTACATCTGCTGCCCTAGAAATGCCTGCTTCATGTCTGCTCATTTGAATACAGCAGCAGTCTGCCCATTATAAAGCTCTGAGTGAGAGCTTTCTAAAGGCAGCAGTTCCAGGGATCAGCCTCTCAATACATTAGGAGTTAAAGAGACAAGTAGACATAATCTCCTTCTACAGAAACTGAGTGCTAAAATATCTTGAACAGATAACTGGTCCTCATAATCATTTTTAGGTCCTGCACGATCATTGACCCTAGACATGCTGTTCTCTTAGATTTTGGATGGTTGACCTATTTGAATTCTTGGGATCACTTGTCCAGTCTTTTCAGCAGTATGAACTAATTTTATCTAGACTGGCTGCAGAATCATTTTCTTGGTCAGTAACGTCACAGAATAGTCCATTTATCAATATGGTTCATAAGTATGGCACAGTCCACAGAATTTCAGGAGCAGAACTTGTTTTAAAGTTATTGCTTTCTGAGCAACTGTTAATATCTGTCAGTGAATGCTGTGCAGACATACGGTGACAAGGGTGACAGTGGGTGTCAAACGCATAGTAAGTGTGCTTAGTTCTCTATGGCAGTGCCTCTCAAACTTTTTGGACCAAGTACCACCCCTGATCAAACCAAAGCATCCAAGTGCCACCTACAAGTCATCTTCTCATAGGAACCCCATGAAAATCTCAATGACCAACATGAGAGCACGTGCACACATACTCTCACACATATAATACAAATAGCACCGAGCACTTAGATCATTTGAATCATACCGCCTTGTAGCCGTTTCCCGATGCTTGCTAACACTAGTAGTGCTGTCTGTGTCAGGTTCAGCAGCAGCGCTAATGTCAGTGGCCGATAGGGTTACCATACATCTGGATTTTCCCGACCATGTCCTCTATTATAATCCTTCCATCTCTTCTGGGGGGAATGTTCAAATATCCAGAAATGTCCGGGATTTCAATCCCATTATTTTCACCATGAAGAATAATTAACAAAAGTTATTAAGATAGTTGGAGAGAGACTTTCTTAACATCTTTAGTTTGCTTTGCGACCTATGTTGACGTTCAGTTTTCGTCCTGTATGTGTATGATTGTCATAGAGCAAAATTGGCGTCAATATCAGTCTGTAATCAGCCTGTGCAGTGCAGAAACATTCCCTTGAATTCCCTATTTTGTTTCTCGTTTTCCTACCCTCAAACACAATGCCAAAGCGAAAGTGTAAATTCACAGCAGAAACTAAAAATGTCCGTGTTTTTGAAGTGGCAGAGAAGACTGGGAAGCTGAAAGTTTGGTGTGTAAGCCTGGTACTTTTGTCTCCATGGCAGATAAAAGGTGTACTTGACTTGCAAGTTCATGTTGACTCAGACAAACACAAAAAGGCAATTCGAGGATGGGATTCTTCAACCAAATTAACAGATTCTTTGTCAAATCTGGAAGCAAAACAGAGGATACTATTATTGCAGTAGAGGGGACATATGCATTTCACACAGTTAAACATCACAGTGACTTTACCAATGAACATAAAACGTGGGATATTTTGAAAACCCTCTCCATCCTGACCCCCTTCCCATATAAGGCAATAGGAAAGTTTCTCAGGGTATCCTCTTTTTTTGATGTTCAAAAATGGTAACCCTAGTAGCTGATCCTCTTTGTTCTCAACGGGTGTGCATGATCTATCGGAGCTGGCATCGGTACTCTTGGCATCTGTTCCTTTCAGCCATGACATAATACTTGATTTTTGCGAGGTATTCATTTTCGGTCACTTGTTTTGTTGGCGAATGTGGCGCTAAACTCTGTCTCTGAACACTCAAGCATTAGCGCGCGCTGTATCGATGTAGCTAAGTACGTAGGCTGCGTATTTGACATACAAACTAATTTTATTAAAATAGAAAATATGAAAACCCATCTCAAGCTTTCTGAACCCGATTAAGTAAATTACAGATAAAACTATTTTTAATTCCCAGTTTTTCAGTGCACACAATGAATTTCCAGGGTCATCTGGCATACCACCTGGGGGTGGTACGCGTACCACAGTTTGAGAACCACTGCATGGGGTTTAATTCAAAGTCCCTGAAACAAAAAACAAACAAAAGGCATCTGTACATACTGATCTGTTTTGATCTGGTTTTCTTTTCATATCTTAATTCGACTGGAATAGTGGCAGTTTTTCAAAGCTGCATTTAAGCTTTAATTCACACCTTTTCAGATGTGTGCCAGTGCTTGGAATTTACATTTATTCCTTTAGGTCTTTTTTTTAAATTAAGTTCACCACCACAGTGACTTCTTTCCGTTTAGAAACATGCTGTGAGTGACTAGCATATGGCAATGGTGATATTCATTGCATCCAAGATTTCGTATCCTGCATTCAAATCCTAACAGCGTCTTCCATCGATTTATCCTGTGACCGTGACCGAGCTCTTGATCTCATAGTGATCTCATTTCCACACCGGTGAAATAGCCTTTCTTACACAAGATTGCTGTTCTTCAATAATTCATCTTGGACAAGTGAGCAAAGTCTAATCTTCCCGACACAGTATAGCATAATTCTTCAGTTCCCTTGTGATGACCCGCATCATTTTTCCATCAGCTTCATTGCTCAAGGTCCCTTCTGAATGGTTCGGTAGGACACTGTTTAATATAGAAGTGTCTGATTTCCTTGATAGCCATTATGATCTACGTGTTTTAGGATCGAAGCTGGATGAATGTGAAATGCATTGACATTAGCATTGACAAGAATGTTCCTGGAAGATACTAGACACACTGGCACTTAACTGTTGTTTAAAGGTGTGTGACTTCAGTGGAAATTAAATGGTTGGAAAAATTCCTTTGAGGAAACAATCTGGAAGCACCTGTGTTCAGCCCAGTCCTAGTCCTAGTGTCGATTCTTTTCGATTTCTCTTTTAAAATACAGCCCATTCTTTGTATATCCATTATTCACGCAAGGATGATGCTGTGTGAAGCCCGGAGGTTCTCTGAAAGCAGCTATCTCTGCATTTTGTCTTGTACCAATGGGACTGATGGAACGTATTTTTTCTGCTTTGGCTTCAGGTTTTAGCTCATCTGTATGGAGAATGTAGGAGTGCTTGCACCATGAAAAGGCTTTCATTGCTATACTTGCACAAGCAAAGGTGATAATGCCTATCATTTGGAATAACCTTATTAGGTAGTCCATTTTGTTGAATATTAAAGTTCTCAATTTTCATGAGCTATCCCTGATTCATTCCAGTGAGCAGTAGTAATGCATACAGTTGGTTGAATGTCCCCAACTTCATAAATACCTATACAGTAGATGTTACACCAAATAGATTTGTGAGTGACCAGTTTAAATGCATGGTGCCAGTTCTCTTCTGCGCTATGGTTTCTTTCTTTGGTTTGTAATTACCACTGCTTTCATACCTTAATTCTGGAGTAATCCCTTTTTAGCGCCTACATATATTATTATGGGATTAGATGTAAAATGCGTCCATTACTTCCATTACTTACAGAAGTGGGCAAAATATTCTGTAACATTGTGTTCAAATAGAAAATCTCTGTCAGACATTGTAGTAGTTTTCAAAAGTCTTTCATGCAAAGGTTTGGCCATGACAAACACAGAATCACTGACAGTTACTTCCAGGCATTCTTTTTCTAGTCCATTCATTCCCTTCTAATTAATTGCTTTATTAATTATAATTATGTTAATTGTTGTTTCCATAACAATGTTATTAGATGAAAATGTGGTCAAATGGAAGTAAACAATAAATGTTTGGATTTTTTTCAAATATAGACAAAAACATGGCAAACCCATGATATTGGGTTTTTTTGGTAACCTCGCAACAGGGTCCAGTATTGGCTCTCGGGACCATGCCTGGTTTTGCTGTGGCCATGTTCTCATCGGAGCACAGCCTTGTCCATTGCTCCTGGCAGAAAGGAGAAGCCAAACAGCTTAAAGCGTATAGCACAGAGCGAGATTTGTGTTTTCCGTTCCAGGGAATGACCATCCGGCCTCTGGTGGACCTCTTGGCAGTAAAGAAGAAACAGGAGACCAAGCGATCCATCAATGAGGAGATTCACACCCAGGTAACAGGCTGAATTGACTGGCCAACAGCTAAGGAACTTAATCCTCTTGTAATTGTTGTGTAGGTCGCTTGTGCAATATGCCTTTGTCCATAGTTTGAGTGGGATGGCTGGAAAGCTGAAATTCAGGAAGTGCTTCTGTTGACATGTTCCTATGAAACGGGCATTGCGCCTCTCGCTTAAACAAACTTTTCGTGCGAGTTACCTTCCATTGTTAGAAGTGGTTTAATTGTCTGGTACAACACAGAATAATGAAAAGGGGGGACACATTCTGCGGTAATGGCCTACGTGTAGGATTTCAGTTATAAGGATTCACTTACCTGGTATTTAATACTCTGCCGGTGTTTGCACTTGAATACTTTTGTTTCAGAGTATGAAATGGCTAATTCAAAGTTTTTCAACAATTCTAATATTGTAAATGTGTTAAATTTTCATGATATTGTTTTGTCGATGTACATACACACATTACTTTCCCCAAAACAGACTCTTAAAAGTAAAGTTTTTATCTTGCTGACATGCTTTAAAATAGAAACTTTAAAACAGCAGGTGTCAGGATGATATTATAGCGACGACATCTATCAAGGAATAGGATGTAGTTAGTAAACCTGGTCTTGGAACAGATCCTGGTGTAGTGAGAGAAGGGGGCAAGTAGCCCAGGGAGGAGGTGGATGATGCAGAGATTTAGGAGGCATAGTGGGTCGCACTAGAAATGGGTTGAAGAAACTCAAGTAGGTAGCTGCATCAGCATGCATAGGCTGCAATGGAACGGTAATGGTTTATTCCAAGAAAAGAAAAGAGACACAACGTTTCGACTGTGGAGCCTTTTTCAGCTGTTTTTCCACCTTGACGTATCTACTGTACCTACTTCAGCTTTACTTTGCAACTTTTTTTTGTTCATTTTTGGAGCTTTAGCACAACTTTTGTATACCCATATATTAATAAGACAGGTCCCAGTCTGTTACCTACAGTATGAAATGTTGTCTGGATTTGAACCCTTCTTGTTCTCATCCTCCCCAGTTCCTCGATCACCTCTTGACCGGGATAGAGGACATTTGTGGACACTATGGGCACCACCATTGGAAAGACAAGTATGTTTGCCCTTGCTGCCTCTACACAGTTTGAGCTAGGGAACCTCAAAAGAAAAGCCCTCAGAACCTCAAAGGAAAGTCCATCTGAATTAGACTCCTGAGTGGCCCAGCCAGTATGTGTGCTCTGCCTGAGCCTGTAGTCCAGAGGCACCAGGATTCTGGCCTGGGCCATCCCAGGAGCCAGTCTCTAAGAGTTAGCAGAAGTGGCACTTGGGAGGGGCTTAACTTTCATATGTTTTATTAACATTCAGTGGGGTTAGTCTTGAAACCCAGTCTAATACCAAATGCTTTTAAATCTACAAAGATGCTTTTATAATAAACATAAATGAGAGTTTGAGTTCTGAAGCTCAGCATTTTGCGTGGGGTTCCATAGATATACACGTTAAAGGTGAGCTCAGCTTGAGTGAAAGACACAAGAGAGAGGGGTACTCAGGGATCAGGATCTGGTAAGGGTAATCTAAGCAGTTGAGTGATGTGCCACAATTTTCCAGCAGTTCTTCTTTCAGGCTGGCGAAATGGAAGAAGAGCTGTTGTTTGCATTTTAACTTGCAGATATGAGCTGCTCACAATTCTACTCCACTTTACCACGTTCTCTACACAGCTCTGCACAGCAGTCAAAGTCACTTCCACGGGTGCACTCAGTTCTGTGAAACAGCTTTTATTCTCCTCAGGGAGGGACAAAAATTGATCTTTTGAACGGTGATAAGCAAATTGGAGGATTTGCGTGAACACACGAGCTCCTCCAGTCTTTTGTTTTCCCCAGAAATCATTCCAAACTGCATGTTTCACAAACCCGAACTTGTCACGCCCTGAAACTGGGTTCCCGACTTTCGACACCGGCGGTTTCAGTGCAGTCCTGCTGATGTTCACGTGCGTGAGCGTGCCACCCTGAAGGAGGTAGCATGGGTGGATCGGGACGACACCCAAACTGATTTGCATTGTGTGTCTCTTTGAAAGGTTGAACCGCTTCAATAAGAAGTACATAAAGAAGTGCCTGATCGCAGGCGAGAGGTCGAAGGAGCCCCAGCTGATCGCCTTCTACCACAAGATGGAGATGAAGCAGGCCATCGAGCTGGTGGAGAGTGGAGGGATGCCCAAAATCCCCTCGGCCGTGTCCACCGTCTCCATGCAGTAAGGACACGCACTCTGACCTCATTCCTACCCGAGTATCCATTTTGTCCCTTAGTATTTTCTCCTCTCTCCGTTTTTGTCTGCAAGTTCCAGCTCAACATCCAAATCTCTGGTTACGTAGGAAAGCTCTGCTTTCTCTGTTGTTTCTTGCTCAGTTTACACCAGGACGTTTAAGGTTACTTTCACAAAATGAGACGCACCTTTGGGCAGAAGCAAAAAGCTTGAGAAATTTCTCCTCAAGCCCTCACCTCAGTTCCTGCCTTGTGTGCAGCTTCAGGGATGCTCGCCCTATAAAGAACACGGATGTGCGGAAAACCCCATTTTGCGTGATCCATTAGTTGACAGACCTGAATCTGAAAGAATAATGTGTTTAAAGTTTAACCCAGGAGCAGTAAAACTAGTTTCATTACATTTTTTTTCTAGTCTGAACAGAAAGAACTTCTACAAGTAAGTGTAGAAACACCCCTTTACTACAACAGCAGGCTCCTCATACAGTTAACACCCCCATGGATACTGGAATAGTTCATTTTTTCTTATACAGTACAGTATGTGAATTCTGCCCGGGGTTCTGCTAGCTCACCTTAGGAGGGGAGAAAATAGGTTTTCAGTCCTTGGACAAATTACACATCCCTGAAGCTTGTCTCTGCAGTACATCAATTATTTTAATGTGTCTGCATTTCACAAAAAAAGCTAATTGAAAGTTTTAAATTGGCATCCCAGTGTAAAATTTCCTTTCTTAGACTTTGAGTTCCACAAAAGCATAATAAGCGCTATTCAGAGCACATTCTTTATGCTGTACTTTGATAGCTTCTAAGTTGAATTGTTAAATACCTGTCTTTTAGCTTACATTGCCATTAGGTACATTTTAGCATAGTCGTTTTCACAAATCCCTCTTTAAACATCTCACTTGAGAAGATTACAGTGCCATTAATGTGCATTTGAAATGCAATTATACAGTACATGCTAAGGTAAAGGTTCAATAGATTTATTAAAGGAGGAGAGTAAATCAATGCAAGGTGTATTTCATGTACAGTTAGGAGGCAGTTGTCTTGTTAGTTTTGAAGGCTGTTAAAGAAACCACCTTATCAGGGGCAGCTAACGTCTTTTCAGAATCTTAATTTCTGAACACACAAATGTTGCCTGAAGATCTTGCAAGCAGGACGTTTTCTTTAGTGTGCTTCCCTGGCATTTTTCTATTGTGTAGCTGATCTTTAGTGGATGAGAAATCCGCCCACTTAGTCCTGCTTGAGTAAGAAGCTAGCAGAAGTAATACAAAAAATCCCTTTTAAATCAGCTCCATTAAAATCCAATCTTTTGTGTCAGAAGTGGCTTAAGATATTTGTCATGAACTGAAAACCAGAAGACTCTCTTCCTGAGGAAATAATTCAAAGAAATATGAATAACTATTGTATTAAATTATCAAATACTGTAACCATGGTGCAGAGAGGCGTGTTTTTGTATGACTAAACCAGTAGTAATTGGTCTATACTTTAATTAAAGTACTTCCCTTCTGCTGGCTGTAATGACATTTGGTCATCTGCCAGAATCATTTATCGTAACAGGAAGTGCAAAGACACAAAGTTTATGTTCTCCCTTGTGTTTTTGACTCATTGAAACATTGTGCCTCTGAGGATTCAGAAACCCTGAGATTTATGTGCTTCATCTTGGAGCTGGGGGTCTCTCTGGTTTAATCCAGGGAGTTTCGAAAGGAAGGAAAACGTTCTTTAAGGAGCTCCACAGCATTGACGATATCCTGTTTTCTTGTACGTGCTTCTAGAAACATCCAGCCCAAGCTGAAGGTTCGTGAGAGAGTGCTCCCGCAGCTTTCGAAGTCACGGGAGGAGGAGATCCGGAAAATTCTACGGACGAACCTTCAAAGGACCAGGCAAAGAGTAAGAAGCGGACGCCTCCCTCACAGAGCGGGAGTGGTGGTTTTGTCAGAGTCGGGCTGGCGTTGGGGCTCTATCCTCCCAGCGTTTTCCCTTAGAGTGTTACTGCATAACTGCCAAGATGTCAGCTTTAACGGTTCTTTCTTCTTTACTTTGTTTTTGTTTGGGTAAATTCCCATGTTTGCATGCGGATTCCAGTCTTTTGAGGTTGGGGCCCTTTTCTGTTTTAAGCGGGTGAAAACGACTATACAAAGAAAACCGTAATCTGCGATTTAATGCGCTTTGGCCTTAATGAGTAAGCAGATGAATGCTGTTGGTTAGCTGTTCAGTTTACAGTCGGGCAGTGACTAACAGACCACACTTGCTCTGACACAACTGACACAAAAACTCACAGCTTGGAAACTCTGGTGTGGCGATTTTTTTTTTATTCAGGATATTTCTCTCCCGAGTCCTCCGAATCAAAACTTAAACAGCCAGAACTTTGAGAGAACCGCTGTCGCAGGTCCTAGGTCCTTAAGACCTGGGCAAGCCTCAGTCTTAATGCCTGTACGCTGGGAACAAACCAGCTTAAATGTGTTTCTGCTGCTTTTCTTTTGGTCTGGTTTTAGAAATCCAAGAAATGGACTTCAATTACAGTCCTGCAGCATAACCACAGCAGTTTCTGTCCCTTTTGAAGCTATTTTGTTTTTGGTCATTTCAAATGATCTAAAACTGCAGTTGTGTATACGACTGCTATCTGGTCCTGGCTGTGTTTCTATTCTTTTATTGTGTGTTTTTTCCAGAGGGTGGAGGTTGTTTATTTTCTTTGCAATTGTGCATTTCCTTGCTTATTTTGCCTCTTGTGTTTCCAAGCTATATTCTTGTGATTTTTGTTTGTTGTTTGTACGTGGTGCTGCCAGGGCAGGAGTAAAAGGGCTTTGTATTGGTTATGTGTTCCAGCTGCGGTCCTACAACAGACACACACTGGTGGCAGACCCATATGAGGATGGCTTCAGCCAGCTTTTAATACGGAAACAGAGGGCCATGCAGCTGGAGAAAAGGGTATGTTGGAGGACTGTCCAGAGTCTGATTTAGTTTGACTGTTAGGAAGATTCAAGATAACTAGAACATGAGCTTTAATATACTTCTGTTTCATAGTGTTAACCACGCTGTGGGATTCAGTGATTGTATCAATTAAAAACATGGCGGATAATATTAATTAAACAGTGTTCAATTTTACTCTTGTAATGGAAAATGAGATCCTCAGTCCATCACATATTTAGTACTTTTAATGCCAGAATATTTAAAGACTTGCGATCAGAAGCTCTTGGCTCATCCCATGCAGTAAATCTGGCCAAGTTTATTAGCATGAGTGATTACTGATTGGATAGTCCACAAATGCCATAGTGACTTCTGGTTTTCAGATGATTTTCTGGCATTCGTCGGTGCTGTCAGGTTCCTAATTATTCTAATTACAGTATGTGATCAGTCTACTAATTTTTTTTTCTTCCCAAGTCTTTAACAACTGAGGATTTGGAGACCAACATTGGACTCTGGGCCTGAACACTTATACATCTAGCAAGAGATATTCAGAAAAAACTGCACTGGCAATAAAGCAATTTTGATTCGATGTTTTTGTTATTATTTTGTTATTATAAAATGGTACTGCTGTAGTATTTTATGTGAGACTTTGTGAAATGTTTCTGAACACTCTTTTTTCTATTATTGTTTAATTGTCTGTTCACAGCAATAGCTCTTGTACCGCATGGTGAGAATGAAGAAGAGTATTCTGGCCATGCGGTATGTTGACCCTGCCCACTCTACCAGCTCCCTGGTGATTGACAGGAGAGTTGGCACTAATTGGAGGATTGGTGCATCTCTCACTGACATCACTAAAGAGCAGCAGATACTGGAGTTGCTGTTTAGCTGGTGGGACAAATTCCAAATCCCACACTTTCTTGGTTTGCCAGAAAGTACTTTTCACCTTCACTATGGAGTTCCTTGAGTTTTCAGACACCCAGCTTATGTAACTGTATTTCAGTCGGTACTGATCAGCACAGGTGCAGTTCCCAAACCAGTTTGCGTGCCAATATATGACCAGGTCTAATATTTTGAATGGGTTCTTTTATTGTTGTTCCCGGTAGGAAAACAAACAGACTAAATAAATTATAGACTAAAACACTCTGACTTTTGTGTTCCAGATGAACAATTATCTCACTGTGCCAGCTAATCAGCCAGATTCTCCTACCATGAACAGAGCCAGGCTGGCCTCAGGTATGTTTCCAGATTACACAGCCAGGCTGTTTTGTTATCAGGTTTTACTCAACAGCAGTTTTCAAGCCCTAAGGAAGTCAACCCCAGCTGTTAAGCATAAACCGATTTTCAATTAAGGCAAAATCTTGTTATTTGTGAGAGGAGATGAAAATGTTTCTTCTTCTTTTTTACTGACACTGAATCCACATTATGTAAGAGTTTACTGCTGATCACCAACCTGTCTCTCTTTAAATGTCCTAACATTACAAAATAATGAACTGTTGGAATTGCATTAGCTCAGTCGTCTTAGCAGGTGCTTGTAGTTGGACTATGATGTATTGGCACAAGAGTATCGGAGAGCAGGGCCTCCATTTTGTCACATGTGGAAGTACAAGTAGGTTCAGTAAATTGGTAAAGGGGATTAAGGAAAGATAGGAGTTGAACCAGTGACTGGTAGCGAGCCTTTCTGTTCTGGACAGAACCTGGACCACCTACTCTCATAGTATGCTTTATATGAAAATAAGTGCAGAGCACTGGTACAAGGTAAAAAAAACTGTAGGATAAAGCACATCACTGGCTGTTATCCATTGTTGACAATACATAGTAAATACCACAGAATTAACTTCTATATTCTTCATAGCAGCTGTTTAAATGACAGGGTGAGCATTTTTGTACTTTCTTTCTAAGCTAATGAAAATCTAAAGAGTGCTTAAAATGGGATGAGCACTCATTGCCACCCTTCGTGGTCTTCCCATTGTCAAGAAGGATCCGGAAAAACCCGGAAGAAATCCAGAGAGGAGCAAAGCAGACTAATTTTCGGGTTCAGAGCTGAAAGTGTGAGGGCAGGCTGAAGGAACTTCCAAAAGAGCCGAAAGAGACTGATGCTATAATTGGCAAAGAAAGAAGATAAATTGACCCCAATTAGCTTGAGAAAAAGATCACCTTTCAGTATGCCAGGACATACATGGACAGATTAAAGTTCTCCTTCCATACTAGACAACATCTCTTATTGTTCACAGGTTTAATATTCCTACATCATACAGGCTGTGCATGCTGAAGTCTTTCAAAGCTTTCGACATCAGAGCCCCATTTCTTACTTTCAGAGAGCAGCTGTCAAAATGTGAACTTAGAGACTCCGTGAAAGATTATGTAGGCATACATGTAGATACAATGTTTTCATTGCAACTCGTATGAGTTCGGGAAAACCTGGGGTGGGATTGTGTGCTAGAAGCCGCTTGTCGAGTTCGCGTACGGGCAGAGGCAGCCTGCCGAGCCCTTTTTCATCGGGGACGTTGCTCCTCTCCCTGCTCTAGACCCGCAGACGTACAGCTCGAAGTCGAAATCCAATGACCTCCCGGCCATCAAGGTAGACCTCGCCTCCCCTCAGTCCCCAGACCACGTCACCCTGGCAGACGAGCGGACGAAACGGCCGGAGGAGGACGACCAGGGCATCGTCATGAAGGAACCGGGGGGCAGGGAGGAGCAGGAGAGCGGGAAGGACCAGCGCCTGCTGCGTTGCCTTAGTGACCCAGGGCCTAATGCCGACGAGGAGGAAGACGAGCCCTTTTTGCCTTAGGCCTCTCCGTCTCCCGCTCCCTGTATTCCTGTCCAGTCATTCCCTTTAGGTAAAGCCAAAACTACGACAAAATGAACCAAAAAAAATGTTACTTTTTTTAATTTAAAAAAAAAAAATCGATCCTGTTCTAGCCGTACAGTGACGGCGGTATCGAAAAACCCAGGAACTATGCAGAACCAAAGGCGTTTGCGGTTTATTTTAGCAGAACCTTCAGAAACCAAGAGATTTGGAGCGTTCTGGGGGCTGGGTTGTTGGTTTTCCAATTTGTTTTTTTTTTGTGTGTTTTTAACCAGAAGGGATAAAAATGGGACACAGAGCCTTTCTTCCACCCCACTCCCCCCACCCCCTCCGGCTCCCTCTCTCCCTCTCTCCCTCTCTCTCGTTTTGTGTCGGGACACTCCAGGCTGCTACCAGGAGCAATACGAAGCAATGACAGAGCAAACTCCCCTCCACTTTTTCCGCTGAGATCTGGTCCAAGCTGAGCTAGACGGTGTGCGGACTCTGGAGGGGAGGCAGTGTAAATAGCCACCTCATCCATCACCGAGACATTTTATACAGTTTTTTCCGTTTCTGAAGCAATACAAGTCCCAGAACTGCTGTGGAGCGTTCCAATGCAGTCCAAAAATAAACTGCTTCTACCATCCTACAACAGAAGGTCTTGTGCTACATGGAACTTCAGAGGCGTCTAGACTGGTGTTGGCAAAGGTTAATGTAACTGAACGCTGAGAGGTGACTCATACGGTTGAGTCCTCTCTCATATTTGCCTCAGTGCACAGTTTTTTTTTTTGTTTTGTTTTGTCAAAGCATTAGTACAAGGCTACATCCAAGAAGAAAGGCCACGGCTGTGGAAAAGAGGGGCAGATTCATTGCTGGACCAAAAAGCCGTGCCGCTGTCTTGCTAATCGGTCATTTCAGTGTTCCATTCTTGATACAAAGCTTTGAATTTGTTTTAGTGTCTTAATTTGTAACCAAAGAAAGTTTTAAGTTCTCAGCTTTAAGTAACCAGGGGTGAGCAGGTACTGTATCTGTATTTCGAGCAGTTATTTCAGGTGTCCTTAACGGAGTGAATGTGCTCTGTAGAGTCAGGCAACTGAGCAGGTCTACTTGAAAGCTGTCACTCTTGTTTTTTGCAGTCCTTTGCCCTCCATTTAAAAGGAAATGTCAAGATGTTAACACAAAGGCCCAGATTAAATCAGAACCTTCTTTTGAGGCACGAGTCACAGACCCCTGAACCCTGAACCTGAGGGATTCGCTCTGTTCAGAGGGCTGGCCAAGTGGCTGGTTAGGAATTTCTAGTTGAGGAAGGTTGGTTTACGCCGGGCCTAGTTCCATGTCCTTTGTGAAGATTTTGAACACAATTTGTCGAACGTTTAGGGCTCAACGGCTTGTTTCCTTCACAGACTGTTTTTGTCATTGATTTTTAGCATCCCTTTAAAAATGTGGCAGAGATAAGTGTGTCAGATGGTTTGTTCATAAATTTCTTAGGAACTAAGTATTGGGACACAACAAATCAATGGAAATGTCCTTGTTATAGGAAGCACTTCTAAATGTATTGCCATACCAGTAATCTCCATACTGCGGTATTATACCATTCCCTACAAGCTCCAGCTAATTTGTACATTGTATTGTGCTTTTGAAAATGTAAGAGGCCTAAATACTTCCTAGGTAGGAGAAGAAAAATGTAATCTGGTATCTGCAATTAAATTAGTGATTTAAGAGGCTTGTATGGAATTGTTAGGCAATTATATAGATTGAAAGATTGTGTATGTCTTAATGTTTTGTCCCTGTTGCTCTCCAAGCATTGTAACTAGATTTCAATCATTTACATTTCTTACAGCTGCAATACATCATTCATATTGGGTCAAGCAAGTTAGACAGACCCGTTCCATGTCTTTTTTTATGGTCTTGAAATTGAGATTTTGGTTGTGTAATTGAATCTCTCCAAATTGATTTGGAGGTCTTAATAAGAGAATACTAATCTACCTTTGGCAGTAGCTACCTGCACATATGGCACTGAAAAAAAAAACAAATACTACTTTGCGATTGTAATTTTTTTTCATGTGCAATTAAAGCAATATATATTTTTAAACAATACTAATATGCGAAACTCACTGTGCTGGTATTTTATTTGGAAGCAGTGTTTTTATTTTGAAAAACCACTAGGAGATCAAATTAACTCGTGTACAGGACTGCGTTGGATACTTGCTCTCTCGCAACAGGTCGATGAACAGATTGTAACTGAAGATGTGTATAATAACATCAAGATACTTTGCATATAAATCCCTGAATTCCTATCTATGCAATATGTTTAAATATATTTTAAAAAATCATATTTTAAGAAAATCTGTAATATATGCTCGGATTATAATATGGATGATAAAATTCCTGTTTGAAACCAATTTCCTATTCGAAATTAATTAAGCTTCGGTATTCTCCTCTGCTGTAAACGTTTTTTTTAACTTTTGAGGTTGTTGAAGATTTACTTTAAGAAATTATTCCCTGAAAATGGGACGAAACTGTCAGTATAAATGGTATACTTTGTTTTTGTAAAGAAGACGAAGTCTGTGCCTGTCTTTGACGCGACAAACTACAGAGCAAGCGCCATTTCGTCTTGAAATCTGGGCTGGCGTCTGCCTGTGTCTACGGTCATTTTATTTCGTGGTTTGCCATTCGGTCCTCTAAACCAATTTGAACGTCCGCGTAGCGTGTGGTAACAGAGCGATCGATTGGGACTAATTTTACGTTTCACATGAGGCTCCAAAGTCACCGATGTTCACCGCAAGTTTGATTTTATTAAGCCGTGTGCATCGCGGTTTAGATTTGACCTTCTCGCGTTTCCTCAGTCGGTACACTGGAATGCCGCACGCTGTCGTTAGATTATCGCTCATCACTTACCGTTTCGTTTCCATGTTACTGTTTTCGGATGGTCGGGTTAGAGGTCGGGTGATCGAACGCGTTTTTTTTTAAATCTGAACACTTTTAAACGGTGTAGAAATTGGTTGCCGCATTGGAGAAGTTCATAAACCCTGTTTTTGTGAAAGGTAGCTTGGAATTCTATAATGTGTTGGCAAACGCGCGTTGGAAGAGTCTCATCCTCCTGTGTGGTGCGTGTGAGTGTGGCTGAAGAAGAAATGAATTCGAAATGCGTTGCTTCTTTTGGATGTGCAAATCTGATCTTTCATCTATTGAACATCATGGTCCTGTGCCTGGAGACCATTTTCAGGACCTGTCAGGGAAGTTGGTCTGAACTGAAATGGCCAATCACAGTGACCAGAGGCAGTGAGCACTTTTCATGCCAGATTTGACATGTGGCTTAATACTGGGAGTCCTTTGTAGTGGAGGACATCATTCATATCCAATCTGGTCGATTTTTGTTTTCATTACATGTTATATGCCTTTAGGAAAGAGACAATGTTACTTATCTAGTTTTTGTTCTAAAGGAAATCTGAAGATGAAGCCATATTTAGGAAAATATTGGGATTTTTTTTTTTTGCACTGGTGCTATGCATATTTAATGTTTTAGCAACGTTTAAAAGGAATACCAATAAACTCAGATGTTTTAATATTTTTAAATTTACAACTGTATTTTACTGGGTTACTACTACTACATCTTATATGTTTTTCTATAGTCCATTAGTTAATTTGCATTGCTCTGCCTTATTGGTATTCATATCAATTATGAAATTGGATTAATTTGATCTGTATGACAAGAAATATGTCACTTTTTTTTGGGGGGTGGGGGTGTTGTTAAATGGGGGTTCCCAGCACCCCATCACTCCACAGCTGTGTGTTTCTTGTGAAAATGTGGGACCCGTGAGCTTATTCTTAACAGAACAGTGCAGTTCTGTCCGTTTTGTGTGCTTTCTGTACTGTTAAGCCATTACCTCAGTCCGCAAGGCTGGAGTCACAAGGTGTCTGCTGGCTTTAGTTTTGATGGGTTTTTTTTTAAGGGATCTTTCCTTTATATTAACCAAATTGTGCTTTGATAACATTTGGTGTTTCTTATCCAAATGTTTCTCATTACAAACCAAGGGATTTTGGTCTTACTTTGACCGATTTGAGGAAAGTTCACTTCTGCGGTAATGTCCAGTTTCAACTCCTTGAACTCCTCAGGCACCAATAAACCCCTTTTCACACCCTTCCCTTTCACGCCCAGCCCTGCAGCAGTGCTGGCTTTTGAAATGGAGTTATCCTTTATCAGAAACACTACTGCTCTGCAAGATTAGCGAGGATAAACAGGGCAAAGGTTTTAGGTTCCATCATTGAGGACAGTCCGTCTGATGACCATCCAGCTTGGGTCCGAATAATATTTGCCGAATGTGGTAAAAAAAGGAAAATGTGCTTTTGGTTTCTGGAGACCCATGACTGTCAAATTCTCCGAGATCATGCCGTCACTCCCCCTTCTGTTCCTTTGGGTTGACCTCACTGGTGAATGGTAAGACCCTGGATAAGTGACCTGAGCATTGTGCCACAGTGAAATGTCGGAGGACTGGATCGTGGCACAGTGTGAGTGTGTGATGGGGAACCGCTGTCCACCTGTTTCCTGATGAAGTCTTGAGATAATTACCCAATAATCCCAGCCTCCAGCTTAATCTCCAGGCAAAACGAGAAAATCTGTCGACAGGACGCGACTGTGATTTCAACAGAAAGGCTGGACAGATAGTACCCAGCGGGTTGAGACCAGATGCAGAGTAAACCTTATGGATTTTCAAACCATCTGCCTCATAAGGTAGACTGGACTTTTTTATTTACTTGAACGTTGTCCGAACGCGAAATTGCAAATCTAACCATCTAAAAAGGTTGTGCAATGTCCGAGGACCGTGTTTTCCTGTCCCTGTGTATTTAAGGACATGCGTGGGAATTGGAACCAGCAGCTGAAGGCACTGTTCCTTCTCCTAGGGGTGCAACTTAAACGCCCGGTTTGGGCCACACCCTCTCTAGTCCTGCCACAGACGCACGACCTTGTCAGAATGAAATTGTGCTTTATCTTTCTTTTTCTGGGGGTTTGCTGTTCTTTGAGCGATGTGCAAACAAAGCATACTTTGCAATGAAATGCACTTTCTTCTCTATTTTTTTATATGAACTGTTGTAAATTAAAATGAAAATGCTCTGTAATCACTACTAGCCAGTGCACACAAGTGTCTACTAGCATAGCTTCAGCATTCCATTCATGTATAGAGAGTCTAATGTACTGTAATGGTTACATGAATATACAAATTAAAGTTTTAGTTTATAAAATGTGTCTGTGCAATGTTTTCTTTGCTAGTGTGTTGGCCCTATTCTGATGACATTTTCATAACCAGTTTTACCTGTTTAGTTTCCCAGCTGCTGTAATAATATGCAATATATCAGTTTTGTAGACTGACTGACATAGTGGATTTGAAACAGGTTTGCTTTATAGGTAACTGCAAAACATCATTACATTTTGAAAATGCACTCCTGATAGGAAAACATATTCTTCCCTTAGGAAATGAGTGATTTATGTGGAACAAGTAACTCACCTGCCAAAGGTTTGAAGATGTATTTTTTATTGTAGTATATAAGGTATCCAATTTTTCTCTTGTTCACAAATACCATAACAAAATTTGGAGTACATTTATTTCTAGATGTAATTTAGGGTGTAGACCTGACTGAGACATTGACGCAATCCCATATACCAGAGTATTTCAGAATCTCTTGGATTCAGTACCAGTTTCTGAAAACTGTCTCCCTATCTCTTCAATATAACTATGCACCAATCATTTGCAGTATACTGTAAACATCCTAACTCTGGTTCTGAGGAACCACTAACTTCTGGACTTCTGGATTCAAGTGAGTTATAGCTCACAGGCTTATTGATTTCAATTATGTATGTGGGGCAAATTAAATTCAGTTTTTTCACCCAATTTCTGAGTTGGAGAACTGACCTTCTTGTCTAATGGACCTCTACAGAAGGAAACTAAAAGCACTCCTAGTCATCCCCACCTGTGCTTGCTCATCCTTTAGTGATAGTCTATTGAGAGCTATATAGAGTAGTTGGAAACAGGCATGCACAGTTTAAAGAGAGTGTTCAAATTCACCATGATGAAGCTGTAGGGAGCAATACAGAGTAATTTGGGACTGAGCGCTGCAACGACTTTCCCAAAAATCTAAACAAGCAAGAAGATCATTTGAAGTCATTCATGAGCATGAGAGATTTAGAGCTCAGCTGCAATGAAATTCTCTTCCCGTGTAAAGAAGGCCCCGTTTTAGAAATCCTCTCCTCAACGGAAGACTAAGAGGGATCTTGATTCAAGTACTTGGAACCCTTAAATCAAGGCAGTGGACAATAAACTGGAACACGCACCACAGTCTACAAGTGAAAGGAAACAAAAGAGCAATTAGGACCGCAAACAGGCGGATTGGGGAAGTTGGGAATGAATTACAGAACCAAGATATTGAAGATGCTACACCAGGTTATTGAAGACACTGCTGTACAATGATCACTGACAGGACACCTGTGATAGAGAGGGAAAGCCAGCCTGTCTTATCCATGTTAAAAGGATAAGTCTGAAGTCCTAGAACTATATTTCATACTTCCTGCAGCCTGTCCCTGCCTGAGGTGTCCTGTCACGTAGATACTGCCAAAGATTGTCAAGGGCAGGCATTATGCTCTTGAAAAAAAGATTCAGCCAGTACCACAGCAAATATTAATCTATTTCAAGGGGCTGTGTTCCTTGTGCTGCTATGCACTGAGCTGTAGGGCCAGAACCACTATGTACTTTGCACTAACTCATTAGAGATGTGTTCACTGTATAAAAGCAAGTAAGGTGAAATCATAGCACAGGCCTGGGAGAGTGTGGTAAAGGCTGATTGCCCATGCCCATGGTAAGCACACGTCTCCTAACGTTTTGTCTAGAGACTGCACTAGTCTCCCAGTGTTAAATAACAGCCAAGAACACGTTCTTTTTCTGTCGAGACATCCACCAGTAAATCTTCATCGCGTTCTTCAGATGTGATATAGTGATTAGCTGTACCCAAAATGTTGCTTACAAATGTGTTGCTTTGATTACTGTTTAGCCTCCTTGTGTACAAGTACAGAGATGCTTTAGGATCACTTCCCTGGGACGCTGGTGTGGTAGAACGAAGCTCATTTGTTTTGTGATCAGAGTGCTCTTTCATTATTGTGCTTTATAGCCTGGTTGTAGACGTTAATTTGCCTGCTATTGGTGGCACCAACCAATGCTCATCAGGTTGTGAAGGGTTTTTTTTTATTTCTACACATAAATCACTGAAACACTTTTCAGAGTTTTAAAAAAGCTTTTGTTGCGACTGTTAAGAAGGTGGCAGAAGCCTAGTATCACATACACAGGTTGCTGTCCCATGGTGAAAAAAGCTTTTGTCTTTGTGATTAAGTCAGTTACGTTTTAAAGAAAAAAAAAGCTTAATTGCACCTAATTTGCTTAAACTTGTAATAACTGAGGCTGCCAAGTTATAATGGCCCCCCCTGGAGTACAAGTTGGAATTCACGTTAATGGACTACAAGTAGCAGCTCTGTATTAGTTATAATAATTAAAATTTGTGGTTACAGTGGTCAATTTTGTGGTTGCTACTTTTACTGTAGTTCATTAACCTCGCAACCGGAAGAACACAATCTCCTTCACGGTTTAGAGTACAAGACGACTCAAGCTCGTTGACCTCTACTCCTGTTATTTAGTGTTTTCACCAGTAGGGGGGAGTATTGTATAAGTGAAAGGAAACGTTTACCTCACCTCATGTTTTGTTTTCTGTTGCTAATTTTATTTGGTTTCCAGTTAATTAGTCAGCCATAATTAACTGTATTAGAACAGCTTCGGCGGTTTCATAACTACAGCAAATTTCAAGCATTATCCTTCGTAAAGATTTTAATAATCTTGTGTATTTATGTGTATGTTGCCAAAGAAGGAACACATTCATCTGCTGAACTTTTAATAGCCTCATACAAAACTATGCAAAATACAGATGAGGATACAAAACTGAGAACAGTGTAATATTTTGTTTTCTTGTTTTTTTATTCGTTTTGTGTTCATGCCCTGTTATTGCAGGGCTTCTTTTTCATCTAGTATCTAGATAGTCAATTCATGTAGGATCTCCTTCAGTGACACTGAATGGGTTCTTTGCTGTTTAGTTCTTTATTTCTTCTTTGTTATTTAATGAGCTGTCTTTTGCAACAGTATGCACCTTAAGAAGAGGCTTATTTGTTCAACACAGATGGTATGCTATACTTTTGACTACTGAGGTGTGAAGGTATGGGAAACACTACCAAGCATTAAATGGAGAAAGCCCAAACATATCAGTATTTTGCAAAGGAACAAGCAAAGGTTTATTCCTTGCTGCAAAGAGAAGAACAAAGACACAACGTTTCAGCTGTGGAGCCTTCTCTGGGTGCGTCAGTTCACAAAACGGTGTGTTTCTTTTCTTCTCTTTTCAGCATGGAATAAACCTTGATTGTTCCTTTGCAGCCTGCGCATGCCGATACAGCTACATACTTGAGCTATATCAGTATTTTGTCATTTGGCCCTCTTATTCATGGACGATCTGGAACACAGACTCATACTAACAGCTTGTAACGCATACGGCCACCATTGGTTGTGTGAGCCGGCTTACCAGCACGGTGACGTCACTGCCCTTCCCTGTGAATAGCAGGGAGAGCAGCCGCCGGACTGACGGGAGATTTCCCTTTAGCTCAAGTGGCTGGGTCCCTGTTGAGTGACGCTGGAGGCCCAGGTTCAAATCCCTGATGCTGGGGGGCCGACCTGAGGTGGCAGCTGCGAGGGCACATACCCACTTGAACCCCGGAGCGTTACATTGGTGTCAGCAGTGGGATGGGATAGCCCTTTGCCGAGGATGGCGAATTAAGTAGGGGAGAGTGTAACGCATACGGCCACTATTGCAGATTGTTCGAGCAGGCTTACCAGCACGGTGACGTCACTGCCCTTCCCTGTGAATAGCAGGGATTGCAGCCGCCGGGCTGACGGGAGATTTCCCTTTAGCTCAAGTGGCTGGGTCCCTGTTGAGTGATGCCGGAGGCCCAGGTTCGAGTCCCTGATGCTGGGGGGGCCGACCTGAGGTGGCAGCGGCGAGGGCGCATACCCACGTGAACCCTGGAGCGTTACATACTGCTGGGCATAGAACTGTGCTGGGTTAGAACCAATTCTCTTGTGTACAGTGTAGTGTCTTTACTACCTTGTTCAAACCTACCCAGAGATAATATTTTACATAAAGTAGTTTAGAGTCTCAACCATACATCAACAACTGGATCCAGAACTTTACAGATACGACACAATTGAATTTGAAGGAGGGGGAGGTCTTTCAGGGCAGCCTGGTGGCACAGAGGTCAGCATTACTGTCTCACAAAATCTATGCTCTGGGTTTAATACTGGACCCGGGGTGTTATCTGTGTGGAGTTTGTATGGTCTGCAGGTGTTTGCGTGGGTATCCTCCCACAGTCCAGACTGTTAATTGGCCTCTGGAGAATGTGCCCTGGTGTGAGTGTGTGCTTGTGCTCTGTGATGTACTAGTGTCCCGTCCAAGGTGTGCCCATTGGCTTGATTGGGTTAGGCTCCAGCTCCCTCATGACCCTGAACTGGATGATGTGGTCAGAAAATGAGTGGAGCTCTCTCATTTTAGAAACCCAGCTGCTATGCCCAGCCACCATTTCTTACTGCGTGGCACACTTACCTTCCTTACTGGAGCAACTGGCTACAATTATTTACAAGGCTTAGTCTGCAGTTCTCGTCCATGTTCCAGAGCTGATAGCCTCTGAAGACAAGCCGACCACTCACAGTCTTCAGGAAGTTAACATAATACATATTCGTTCCAATAAAGGTCATGGGGCCTGAATATTTTAAGAACAGATTTGAGTGATGTTCCCTGTTTCCTGCATATCTTTGTCTGCAAAGTGTCCTGTGTTTTAAGAGGCTTTCGATTTTCAATTCAATGGACTGCCATTATCGCAGCAGAAATTCAGATTTTGCTCAATTGTCTATCCACAACACTCTGCCTTTTTTTCTTTCCTCTTAATTGTAAGAAATGTCTGAGCTCTGCAAATATTTGCCCTGTTTCAGCATCCAGGAGAGGTGCGTGTGTTTCTTTAAGCATTGATCTAGAAAGACTGCAAGATTTATTCCAATTAAAACCTGCTGAGGATGGCAGAGCTTTCTTTGTTGTTTCTGGGACTCATTTCTACAGACAAATAAAGGTTGCAGGATGAGAGTGTAATATCCTGTAATTCAGTGCTGTC